CCATCAGCACAGAGCCCGATGCAGGGCTTGAATTCATGAACTGTGAAATTATAACCTGAACCAAGATCAAGAGTCAGATGCTTATCTGACTAAGCCACCCCAGCACCCCGATAACCAGAAATATTTTATAAGAAGAAAGTCTAAAAACTGATGATGTAGATGTCCATCTCAACAGCTTAGAAGCAGAGCAGTGAAAGAAATCTATAAAAGGTAGAAGGAAGGCAATGATAGAGATCACAATGCTAAAGTAATTAAATGGAAAAATGTGGAACACTGAAAAATCATTAAAGCCAAAAGTTTGTTCTTAGAAAAGATGAAGATAGATAGATAGATACCAAAGCTGTTCAAAAATAAAAGAGAAGACATGCATTTATTTCAGGAATAGAAAAGGGGATGTCACTACAAATTGGACAGATATTTTAAAAGATAGTGTGATGATTCCAGACTTCAAGCTGATTACAAAGTTATAGTCATCAAGACATTATGGTACTGGCACAAAAGCAGACACAAAAATCAGTGGAACAGAATAGAAAACCCAGAAATGGACCCATAAATGTATGGTCAACTAATCTTTGACAAAGCAGGAAATAATATCCAATGGAAAAAAAACAGTCTGGTATTGGGAAATGGTATTGGGAAAACTGGGCAGCTACATGCAAAAGAATGAAACTGAACTACTTTCTTACACTATATACAAAAGTAAATTCAAAATGGATGAAAGATCTAAATGTGAGACAGGAAACCATCAAAATCCTAAAGGAGAACACAGGCAGCAACCTCTTTGACCTCAGCCTAGCAACGTCTTACTAGACATGTCACCAGAGGAAGAGAAACAAAAGCAAAAATGAACTATTGGGATTCCATAAAAAAAGGCTTCTGCACAGTGAAGGAAGCAATCAACAAAACTAAAAGATAACCTACAGAATGGGAGAAAATATTTCAAATGGCATTTATGATAAATGCTAGCATCCCAAATCTACAAAGAACTTAGCAAACTCAACACCCAAAAAACCAAATAATCCAGTTAAGAAATGAGAGAAGATATGAACAGATACTTCTCCAAAGAAGACATCCAAATGGCTCACAGACACATGAAAATATGCTCAACATCACTCATCATCAGGAAAATACACATCAAAACCACAAGGTACCGCCTCATACCTTTCAGAATGGCTAAAACTAACAACACAATAAACAATAGGTGTTGGCCAAGATGCAGAGAAAGGGGAATCCTCTTGTACTATTGGTGGGAATGTAAACTGGTGTATCCACTTTGGAGAACAGGATGTTTGCTGTTCTCAAAAAGTTAAAAAAAAGAATTATCAGCAATTGCGCTACTGGGTATTTACCCAAAGGATACAAAGATTCAGATTTGAACGGGTTCATGCACCTTGATTTTCATAGCAGCGTATCAACAATAGCCAAGCTATGGAGAGAGCCCAGATGTCCATCTATTGATGAATGGATAAAGAAGATGTGGTTTATATGTACAATGGAATATTACTCAGTCTTCAAAAAAGAATGAAATCCTGCTATTTGCAATGAAGTGAATGGATCTAAAGTGTATTATGCTAAGCAAAATAAATCAGTCAGAGAAAGACAAATACTGCATGATTTCACTCAACTGTGGAATTTAATAAAACAAAACATATGAACATATGGGGAGGGGGAAGAAAGAAAGGAAAAAGAGAGAGGGAAACAAACCATAAGAGACTCTTAAGATAGAGAGCAAACTCAGGGTTGATGGAGGGAGTTGGGTGAGGGATGGGCTAGATGGGTGATGTGTATTAAGGAGGGCATTTGTTATGATGAGCACTGGGTGTTGTATATCATTGGTGAATCAATGAATTCTACTCCTGAAACCAATATTGTACTGTTTGTTAACTAATTAGAATTGAAATAAAAACTTGAAAAAAATAAAAATAAAAAGATAGTGTAAGAATATTGTGAACAACTTAACAGCAATGCATTTGACCATTTATATGATATGGACAAATTCCTTAAAACATATTTACATCTTTAAATAAAAATCTGAGTAATTTTATATTCACTAAAGAAATTGAATCTGTAATTAAAAACCTTTTAATGTGCACCCCACCCTCACACACACACACACACACACACACACACACACACACACAGGTACACAATCATAATCCCAGACACAGATGGCATCACAGATAAACTCTTCTAAAACATTTAAGTAAGAAATAACAATGGTCTTATACAGGTTATCTCAGAGAATAGGATAAGAGGAAAAACCTTTCCCACTTGTTTTACTTATGACCTGGATGCCAAAACCTAACAAGAATATTATAAGAAATAAAAAATGTGGGCAAATCTCTCTCATGAATATAACCACAAAAATTCTAAACAAAATGTTAGCTAACTAAATCCAGGAATATATAAAAAAGACACTGTATCATGACTACCTGTACAGGGGATTCAGGGATACAAAAATCAATCAGCTTTATTCATCATATTATCAGAATCAACAGGAAAAACCATATAATTATCTTTATAGATTCAGAAAATTAATAAATGAAACTTAACATCTATGTATGATACAAATACTAAATAAATGGGAAGAAAGAACATTTTTTAATCTGGTAAAACTAATCTATAAAAAAGCCCAACTATGTGCACATCATAATTAACAGCGAAATGTTAAAAAACTATCCGAGTTCAGAAGCAAGACAAGGGTGATCACTGCCACCATTGCTATTTAACATTCTACCTTGGCCACTAGTAAAAGAACCAATATTTTATTTTTTTTTAATTTATGTTATGTTATGTTATGTTATGTTATGTTATGTTATGTTATGTTATGTTATGTTAT